GACTTCTGCAGCTCAAGCGGAGGGGTTCATTTTTCTCCTCTTTAAAGAGTCTGGAGGTAGGCAGGTCCTAACATTGGTTTCTGTCCCAGCAACATCAAGGCCAGTGTTTCTGCCACTGTCTTGGCCATTCCTTCTTGTTGGCCACCTCCTAGTTTTAAGATGACCACTGTAACACCCACTGTCACCTCTGCACTGAAAGCAGATTAAGGAGGAAAGGCCGAGGGGGGAGGAAGGGCAGTGTTGGCTATATCCGACCCTTTTCATCAGAAATGCAGAAGGCTTTCTCAGAACCAACCCCTCCCCAGCTGACTTTGCTTTCATTATATGGGCCAAAGGTGGGTCACCCGGGCGCCTCTCACTCCAAGAGGTGGGGAAAATGAGTGGGAAGCTGTCCCAGCCTCTGGAGGAGAGGGAGATGAAAGGAGGAAGTGGTTGGGATGGCGTTTAATCAGCCAGTCTGGGGTCTGCCACACAGGAGGTTTTGTCCTGTTGTCAGAATGCAAGAGAGGAACAGATGTGTGCATGCTTTGGACTGCTTTTTCTCCTCTAAATATACCTGTGGTCTTTCTTCCTTTCTCCCCTCCCCTTCCCTATACCAAAAGAACTTTATTTTTTCCATCCATCATTTTACCAATAAAGTGCATTAGCTGTACTGACCCACAGTTAGAAATACAGCCTGGTGTGTACACACACACACACACAAAACAAACAGATTTCACAAAGCTGCACTTGCCTGGGTGGGACACATTCTGATGCTTTTTATTTTGTTCTAATTAAAAAAGAAAAAATGCTGGTCCAGACTCACTAAATTAATTTCAGGACCCACCAGATTGCTTTCAGGACCTGTGGACTGTGACCGTCAGTATGTAAAACTGCTTTATCACGCACTGATGTGACTTGTGGTGGAAACAGCTAGCAGTCTGGTAGCAGTCACTGAGAACAGTATTTAAGACAGAAGTACCTAGACAAGAGTTGGCCCAAATTGGACTCCTGAGCCTGGGATAGTGGGAAGAACGCTGGAGATGGAATCAAACCTTCCTTCTGGTCCTGGGTCTGCCACTCACCCGTATTTCCTCTGTAGCTTCAGTTTCCTCACCTGCAAAAGGATGTGACGTCACTTTGGAATCTCTCAAATAAAAAGAGGGATGAGGGGCTTGGGGTGAACTGTATTAGAAGGGTGGTGTGCAGGGAGCTCACAGACTCCCTCAGGAGAAGTTGGGTGCCCAGCCCCTAGGGAGGACAGGATCTGGGGGCCCAGAGAGCTCTGTGGCTTTCTCTAGGGCACGGCCTCACTGGGATGATGCTGCTCCAGCCCCTTTTTGTCCTCGACTAAGGTCCAAATATGTAGGGGAAGGATCTGATTGGTCTAACTTGGGTTATCTGCGCCCTTGGGAGTCACTGACTGGAGAAGCAGCAGTTCCCCAAAGGAAAAGGAGCGAAATGTTTGTACTTAGATGTCACGGTTTTCGTTGTGAAGGACGACGTCACTGTAGTTAGTTTCTCGGGGGGCCCGGGATGGGAGTACATCATTGGGGTTTTAACTCCTGCTCAGGGGGTTTTGTCAAAAGATGAGCCTCTCGCTGGCCGAGAGCTCAGCTGTGGGTGATCTCTATGGCCCTCCTCCTCAAGAGGACTGGGTCATTCCACTGCATCCGGTGCTCGCGGCCCCCCCCCCTTCAGTCGCAGAAGGACCAAGACAGCCAATGGCTCTAAGCCCTCTCGCCCCTCTTGCAGCACGTGCGCCTGTGTGGAGTACTATGGAAAGGCCCTGGAGGCCCTGGTGAAGGGCGTGAAGATAATGTGCATTCACGGAAAGATGAAATACAAGCGCAACAAGATCTTCATGGAGTTCCGCAAACTGCAGAGGTGGGTCCGCCTCCCTTGGAGGTGGAGATCTCCAGCCACTCTGCTCTTTCGCCGGGTCGCTGTGCCTCGAAACCTGCATGTGTTGTGGTCCTGCCTGGAGCCTTCTTCCTCCTCGAAGCTGGTTATCGCATCTTCTCTGTGAAGCTGCCCAGATCCCCTCCCTCCGCCCTGACCCCCTCCCTCCGCCCTGACCCCATGACACTTGGCTACACTGACTTCCTTACTTGCCTGTCAGCTTTCCTGCTAGACTTCAGGCTCCGTAAGATCAGGAACCTGTGTGTTGTGCTCGCTCCTGGCTCCCCCAGTGTCTGGCTTGGGGCCAGCCAGTGGGGGTTTGGACAGCTGTGTGTTCAGTGGGTGGACAGAGCGGATAGAAAGTCCGTTGAAGGCTACACTGTAGGGAACTGGTGTTTCTACTGACCGTAACTTGATTCTGTTTGTGCACAGAGATACCTTTCTGTTTTTCTTAATCATTGAGCATTCTGGCTGTTATAAGCAATCTTTTAGGCAAAGACCTGACCGCTAATCACCTCAGGCTGGGAGGGAAAATTTTATGTTTTTCAATGGCTGCCAGTGATTAGATTAAATGCAGTTTCCTTCCCCACCAAATGGAAATACGCTGTTTTAAAAACTCTCCGTGTCTCCTCCCCACCTCCTGTTTTCACGGGGAATTTCTCAAGTCCTGGAGATGCTTAGGAGGAAGAAAAATCAGAATGTTACTATTACTAAAAATTTGCTTCTGTGAGAGGTTCTGCAGCCTGAGTATCGCTGTTGTCATCACCAAGATCAGAACAGGCTGCTCTGGCTGGTGGTGGAAGTGGCAAGCCTCCTCATTCGAGTGCTTTTTTCCTGTTTTCCAGTGGGATCTTGGTGTGCACTGACGTGATGGCCCGGGGAATAGACATTCCCGAAGTCAACTGGGTGCTGCAGTACGACCCTCCCAGCAGTGCAAGGTACCGCGTGACAGATGTCCCCTCTGTCCAGGAGTCCCGCCTAACGAAGTGAACCCTGAGTCAGATACACTTAGTGACGGTTGTTAAAACATTCTCTGAAATAGCAAAAATAGGCGAACCGATGAGTGAGGTATTTTCAAATACTTTTTAAAGTTCTTGCAGAAATGCACAATAGAACGTTTAAAGGAAGACAGTATGTACACCGTATGTGAAAATTCCAGTCATTCTCCGAAGGCAAGCCTGCGCTCCTAATGGAAGCCGCAAAACAGGAGAGAGGGCCTGTAAACACAGACTCCTACGCAGACAGCTGTTACTTCCTGGTGGGGGCTCACAGGTCACTTGCGTTTTCTTTTTTATATGTTTCATTGTTTCCCAAGTTTTCTGCTGGGACCATGTCCTCCCACCTGTATCATCAGAGCGGCAGAAATTTAAGTTTTATAGTTCACAGTAGATGTGTGACACTCTTACCTGGCTTGCAGTGTGTATTTTAATCAGCAGCTCTTCTAACACCAGTAAGTGGCAGGGCTGGGGTTGAGCCGTGGATTCTGGCAGCTCCTTGTGTCACTTTAGATGCATCCTCTGCGCGGCTGCAGACCTGCCTGGGCTCTGCTCAGCCACCATCGCGTGTAACCATGGCCCCGTCCCATGTTGTTCGCAGCGCCTTTGTGCATCGCTGTGGCCGCACAGCCCGCATCGGCCACGGCGGCAGTGCGCTAGTGTTCCTCCTGCCCATGGAAGAGTCGTACGTCAGCTTCCTTGCCATTAACCAGAAAGTAAGCCGTCTTCCTTTTCCATACAGAACGCCCAGTGCCGGGGTGGTTGGACTTCTTTTCCAGCGGGTGGTCCAGAACTTAGATTAGAGGTTGCAAACTCACAGGGGCCAGGCAGGTGATGTCAGTGGGGAACCTGCTGGCTTTATGTCTGTGGAGAGGCTCCAGGGTGGCAGCCACTGCCCGGCCCCAGCTGAGTGTCACTACCTGGGGACACGGACGTAGTGTTGCCATATTTTCCAACTAGAAATCACGATTGTTACATAATTGTTGTTACATACTTTTCTTTAAAAAATTTAAAATACTTTCTGGATCAAGTTAAATACTTGGGTTGGATTTGGGCTTTAAGAATAAAATGGATTGTTTTGCCTTTAGTTTTATTGGCTCTGGCTCTGATGGGGTAGCCTTGGGGATGAAGTGATTACAGCCAGAGGGTGACAATGTGGTCCCTGTGCAGTGCCCCCTGCAGGAGATGAAACTCCAGAAAAACACAGCGGACCTCCTTCCAAAGCTCAAGTCCATGGCCCTGGCTGACAGAGCTGTGTTTGAAAAGGGCATGAAAGCTTTTGTGTCATACGTCCAGGCTTATGTGAAGCACGAATGCAGCCTCATCTTCAGATTAAAGGGTGCGTTGTTCTCTTAATTGTGTCTCCATCTGAAACACCTGATGGTTTTATAAGTATTACAAGTATGAAGCCATTTTGTCTTATAAAAATGTGAGTCCTGAGTCAGGGTTCATGTTTTGTAAAACATTTAGAAGAAAGCCTTCCTTGGTTTGAGTAGACAGAGAATACACTGGCAGTTGAGTATTCCTTTTTAGTTGAAATGAAATAATTCCAAGTAAAAAGAACGTTAGATCGTTTGGTTAGAAAAAATTACATTGCCGGGAGTACTCCAAGGGTTGATGCTTGTAATCCTACTCTGGGTGCGCTAACGCCGGTGTTTTGGTTTAATCAGATCTTGATTTTGCTAGTCTTGCTCGAGGTTTTGCCCTGCTGAGGATGCCCAAGATGCCAGAGCTGAGAGGAAAGCAGTTTCCAGATTTCGTGCCCGTGGATGTCAATACAGACACCATTCCATTTAAAGATAAAATCAGAGAAAAGCAGAGGCAGAAGCTACTGGAGCAACAAAGAAAAGAGAAAACAGAAAATGAAGGGAGGAAAAAGTTCATAAAAAATAAAGCTTGGTCAAAGCAGAAGGCCAAAAAGGAAAAGAAGAAGAAAATGAATGAAAAAAGGAAAAAGGAAGAGGTAAAGTTTGCAGTTTTATTATTTAAATACTCAACATAGAATTCTGAATAAAATTCACTGTAGCAGGTGATGTTGTCTTCTAATAGGAGTCACATAGGACTCTCAGATTTCTGTTCCACGGGTGGCTCGGGCAGGGAACGGGCCGTTTGTGGAAGCTGATTTGAGCACATGTGGTTCCTGGTTAGAAATGGGTGGTCTCAGCTAGCACGCTGTGGCTGAGGAATGCAGCAGTTTGTCGGTCTCTTCTGCCCTTAGGGTTCTGACATTGAAGATGAGGACATGGAGGAACTGCTTAATGACACAAGGCTCTTGAAAAAGTTTAAAAAAGGCAAAATTACTGAAGAAGAATTTGAGAAGGGGCTGTTGACAAGTGGCAAAAGATCAGTCAAGACAGCAGATTTGGGGACGTCAGATGCGGAGGATGACGGCTGACTCCCGCCCCTCACGTGACAGGCTGGGGGGCGGGGGACACGACGGGGACAGAGAGCGGGCCCCACCCTCGCGGCCGGCCGGCGTTTGCTGTCTCTGAAAATCAAAACTTCAGGAGACTCCCGAGAAGAATCGCCTCTCCGAAAGCTGTCGCTTCAGACTGGGGAGGTATGAGGGCTGCACACTCGTGTTTTACTAAAAATGCACTGGCTTTGAAGAAGCCTGGCAGAAGAGAAAGTGGGATTCTTTGGGTGTAAATAATAGATGTCAGTATTTATTTTGATGGGTCACTTAGAATTAAAGAGCTCATTTTTTGGGTGACTTTTTTATACCTTTTTTTAACATAAAGATACTGAAGTAGGCTTGATTTTAGATGTCTTGAAGTTCCTCAGTGTTTCCAGACGCCTGGCCTCCCTGGCGTCCTTAGCCCCAGGCTTTAGCTTTAATCTCTCTGATGTACCGCACAGAACCCCCCCACAGCCCCAGCTCCGTTTTATTGGCGGGGATCTAAAAAACAGAGAAAGCAAGTCATTCTGGGAAAGGAAATTACAATGCCTTCTGTTGAATAAACTCTATTTCCTTCTAACTGACTGTGCCTTTAGCGTGTGCAGGGGGCTGCCCAGTGTCTCCACCAAGATGGACGGAGCGTTTGGGTCTGGGGTCAGCTTGCAGCACTGATGCAACGCCATAGCAAAATCTTTCATATAATTTATTTGAAAAGATGCTGAATTTGTTCCCAAGAACAATTGTAAAAAGCTGTTCAGGATCCAAACATGTTTAAATTCACATCTTTCACAGATAGAGAATTTAAGTTTACAAATGTTCTGGAAGGCGTCTTTGTAAACGGTGAGCCGTGCAGGATGCTGCTGCCAGAGACGCCGCCCCCGCCTGCCTTGGGCTCTCGTGGTGGTTTCCTCTGTGGATCCGGATCCTGTTGCAGAGGTGGCAGCCCAAAGCTCGAGTTCACCGCTGGAAGCCTGACACACATTCCTGAGCGCTTCCTGCCCTTCTCATCCCACACTGCATGCAGCCTGCATCCGGGGTGGCCGCTGCTCAGCTGCTGAGGGGCACCTGGCTCTCTTAGGCCTTCGTGTCTCATTGATGCTCTTGGCAAATCAGTCTGGAATGCGGGGAGCTGGAGGGAGGGGGGCAGGCACATCTTCTTTAGTTGGTCAAGTAGCCAACAATCCAACTTGTATTTCTGGAAACTGGAAATGGATGAAAGTGTCTGGAAACTACAAGCACAATCTAGGTTGGGTTTTATGGGAACCGTGAACATATTTTAGATGGAACTGAAATGAATTAAAAAATTCTCCATGACTTATGATTCCAAGTCCTTAGTCTATAAAATGTCATAAAAAACAACTCAGTTTTGGCCTGGCTCACCGAGGGGTCAAGAGGCTTCCCAATTCCTCAGCTGCAAGCCCGCAGGAGAGGACCCGGCAGTTACAGGTACAGCTTGATGAGTTCGTCGCTGACTGCCGAGGGTGTCAGCACCCCCAGGTCTGTGAACAGCAGGGTGATTAGGGAAGGGGAGGTGTAGTCGACCCACGGGTGTTCCTCTCTGAGATCCTGTCCAGTCTGTGCAGACTTCAGAGTATCTGCCTTGTACTGAGGAGACAGGAAGCACTCGTTAGTCTGCTTGCCCAGCGTGTTGAGGGCTCTGAGCTGGGGAGACCTGGGCCTGGGCAATCAGTGTGCTGCTGCCTGAAGGCACCCCGGGAAACGGGGAGCAGCTGGCTGTGCAGCGCACTGGTGTGGAGGGCCGGGCATGGCGTGGGTGAGCCAGCTGGTTAAAGAAAAGCCTCACGTGTTCCATTGGTGCGCTGGGTTAACTCCTCAAGGCCTCTCGAGACCACTGGAGCATCTGTGGAGCGCTTACTATGTGCCGGGCACCACGCTGAGCTCTTCCCGTGGTTATGTCAATCATCACAACTCTGATAGTGCTATCACCCCACTGCGCACGTGACCAAAGTTCACAGAGCTTAAAATGAAGGACTTGCCCAAGGTCACGTGGTTAGTAAGTGGCGGGGATGGCAGGAGGGCCCAGACACTTGACCCCCAAACTTCGACCATTACCCACCAGCTGTCCCTGCCTCCTTGGCCCATACCTAGCATGTCAGTGAATGAGGGAAAGACTGAAATTCTGGGGACAAATTAGACTAAGTTTAACAACCACCAATTTATCTTTGTATCCTGAGTACTGGAAAAAATAGCAATGGGAAGTGAGTAAGTTCCTAGAACATCCTTAGCACTGCGTTTTTTCAAAGGCTTCAGTTTAGACTCAAATGCCCCTTCAAATATGTAAAACTTGCCTTAAACTTATCCGGGACATCTTGCTGGTTTAGTGGGAAGAGCCGTACGAACTTGAAACTTTCTGCAACAACATAAAAAGGCTTGTTCTGTGCTTTGGCGCACACGGCCATCTGGTTGGTTCCAATCTGGGAAGTCAGAAATGGAGAAGGATGAGATCTTCTAGCACAGCTGCAGGGGAGGCAACAAAGTGTATGATGGACGTAACATGTGTAACTCTGGCTCTGGAATTAAAGAGGACCTTTTAAAAAAGAAAACAATAGACGTTGCTCCAAGAATATACATTTGGCCAATAAACACACAAAGAGATGCTCAAGATTCTTAGTCATTAGAAAAACACAAGTCAAAACCACAACAGATACTACTTCATACCTACTGGGAGGGCTATAATTAAAAACACAAGTGTTGGCAAGGGTGTAGAGAAATTGGAATTCTCGTAGGTTGCTGGTGGGAATGTAAGATGGAAAACAGTTTGGCAGATCCTCAAAAAGCTAAACTCAGAAATACCATATGACCCAGCAATCCCGTGTTTAGGTGTGTACTCCCGAAGAACTGAAAACAGGAACTCAGATAATTGTACACTCAAATTCACAGCAGCATTAATCACAACAGTCAAAAGGCAGAAACAATTCAAGTATCCATCAACCCGATGAATGGATAAGCAAAGGTGTTTCCATGCAGTGGGACATTATGCAGGCATCAAAGCATGAGGTCCTGACACAGGCTCCAATACAGACGAGCTTTGAAAACCTCATGCTAAGTGAAATAAACCCAACTCAAAAGGACAGATACTGTATGATTCCACTTAAATAAGGTGCCTCGAATAGGCAAAAATCACGGAGGCAGAAGGATTGGGGGATGGGAGAGAGAAAAATGGAGTTTTGCTTAGTGGTGACAGTTTCTGTTTGGGGTGATAGAAAAGTTTTGAAAACAGACAATGGTAATGGTTGAACAACAATATGAGTGCAATGAATGCCACTCAATCATACACTTAAAAATGATTAAAATGGCAAATTTTATGTTATATTTATTTTACCAAACACACACAAACTATCCTGAAATCTTCCCATGTTAAGCAATAGAGAAATTTTAAGACATTATATTGATGTCATCACTCCATTAAAAAGAAAACCCAACCAAAAAGCCCAATTCCATCAGAGCATACTTTGTGAAAATACAAATTATATTCCAACTTACACAGATCAATCTCAAAAGCGGACAGAAATCTGACCACAATCTGACCACTGCAGTGGCTCACGGGAACTGGGACCCGCAAGCCAGGCAGGTCAGAGGAGCAGCGCTCCCACACAGCGCCGGGCGCGCGCCCCCACGCCCTTGGAGCACGGGTGCTCCTACCTTGTTAATAATTCCTCCGTTTTCAACAACGCCTTCGGCACCAACTATAACAAGATCCACCTTCTCCATGATGTAGCTGAGGAAATTAAGAACAAGTTTTTATGCTCTCTTTGCTCTGCTCTTACTAGTAGCATCATCACTTCCAAGATGAATACTCCCATTTTCAGCAGGGTAAGTTCCTCTCCTAACTACCTTTCTCCCAAAGAGCACCGAGCACCTGAGACAGCCCCCGGCACCATTACCAGCTCTGCTCCAGGACCACTAACACCCGTTTTGATCACGACACCGTAATAAGACATATAACTCACGCTGCCACCCAGTACGTGCACACGTATGTGTGTAACTGAAGTAGGAACTGCATGAGCCGGTATCTGTCCTTACTACATGTGGCACACTCTATTTTTTGGTTCTGCTTCAATACAAACAAAACAAAACTTAAAAAACCTGAAATGATCTGAAGTTGGAAAAATGTGTTATATAATTCAAGAATCTTGCAGGTAAGGGAAGGCCAATTTACCTTTTAATATGAGCAATTAGTAGGATTCTAAAAAATGCTTACTTAAAAAATTTTTTTTTGTCGTGGGGGTGGGTAATTAGGTTTACTTGTTTGTTTGTTTGTCTGTAGGTACTGGGGAGTGAAGCTAGGACCTCGTGCATGTTAGGCATGCCCTCTACCACTGCGCTATCCCCTCTCCCTAAACTGGTTGAACACCTTCCTAATTTCCTTAATCATCTCCTTATGTTTTTTCCTTCCAGGGGGTTATTACTCCTGTTTTCTCTTGCAAGGCACGCTGACGATCCATGGAGCGTGCCGCTTCGGTTTTAGAAGCAAAGTTCCACAGGTGACACAGAATCCCGGAGTGACACCAAAGACAGCCTGTGTCTTCAGATGAAGCGGGATCATGGATCATGTGTGCTGACCCTAAGCTGACCTTTGCACCTTGCTCTTAAAATGCACCATGATACTACGTAAGTGACTCTCAGTCTCCCCAGCATCCTACAGCCCCGTCTTCAGTGTACGCTACCAAGACCTTATAATGAGCTTGCTGGTTTAACACAGCTGTCAATTAAGAGGTGGGATGCTACCCAGTCCAGTTTTATGAATGGGACTCAAACCTTCCATCTGAAACCCTGCTCCAAGCCAACCCTGGGAGGAAATGAGGAAACCTGGGGCAGGGGAAGCTAGGTGCTTACCCCACAGCAGCATCCAGGACCACAGTGACAGGGACGTTGAGGTGGCAGAGTGCTTTGGCCATTTTCTTACTGAAAATAACATTTTGAGAACATTAGAAAAACTCCAAGAGAGTCCCACAGTGGTGTATGGTGAGTCACTTACGTTGGATGATGATAAAGCACATTAGCTTGAAGCTCAGTTAATATTAATGGGTTAAGGGGTGGATCCCAAGACTTTGGACTAAGGAAACAAGAATTTGGGGTCTTTAGAAGGAAGTATGTGTTTCCGGAAAACTATACACTTGGGGACTCCAGGTAAGAGATGCAAATTCAGGGGGAAAAAAGGGAGTTTTCTTTTATGTTGTGGATAAGAGGTAAGCATTATTTATTCTTTGATAAAAATCTATCAATTGCTGTCCCTCTGATTTCAGTACTAAATAAGACCCCTAGATCCTGTACTGTGACCTACTTCAAGTTCACGGTGATTTTTCTTCCAGGGGCAGGAATGGGCACTGCCGAGGGCAATGCTGACTGGCTGGCAAATGGGGTAAGGGAGGGGGCACGCTCTGGCTCCTCTTACAATGGATTCTAATCCTCAGTTTGCTCTTGAAAAGGATAGCTGGGCACATAACCAAATGGAAAGATACTTGCCCCGATAGATCAGGCTGCGACTCCGTAATGTACACACTGAAACGCTTCTTGGCCACCACGGCTGCTTCCAAGACCCTCAGGACCACTCTGGAGTAGGCGTGAGTTAATATTCTCTGTGGACAGAGAACGCTCTGTCAAAAGGGCAAACTTCCGGTGCTCCCCAATCCTCTCTGCTGCCTAGTGCATGTT